AATTACAAACCGAAAAAAAGAAAACATTTTTGCGAATGCAGGAAACATAAATTACAAGTCCCAGACGAAGTAGATTGCCGTGGCTGGTCTTGCAGCGGCAGCATAAATATGAAAAATATGAAAAACATTTTGCAAATGTCACATTCGCATGGCCAGAAAACCGATCTCCGTGCCAAATTTCAGGCACACCCCATTGGAAACACCAATTTGTGCTGTGTATTTTTGTTTAAATTAAGCGTTGGCGGCATTTCCTCGCACTTACTAAAAGTTTAACTAATAGGTGCATATCCTATTACCTAAAATATTTGCGAAAAGCTAAGGTCTAGACTTTACATTTGTGTGCGAAAATAATTAGGTTTTTGCGAAATTCAAACTTGTCTCTATGAAATCATTTGATTAGTTTTTATAGCTATCAATTGAAATAATTAAGATATGTCATTTGTCTGATTTAAGAAATATCGGCTAACAAGGCCAAGAAGCCGCAATTTACAATCTTGAAGAGAGGCTAATATTTCAAGTCTTTTTTTAATTATGTTGTAGTTTTTTATTAGACACTCAAATCTTTGGGGTCAAAATACACATTAGCGTAAACAGTTTGCAAGTGTTAGCTTCAAGTTGTTTCATGTAGCCTTTTTTTTTAATTTTAAAGCTCATTTTGTCGGTAATATCTGAAGATTTTTATGACTGTTTGTATGGCTTCTGTGATCGTTCAGATCGTGAAATGATAAAAGGCTATCCAGAGTGAGGTATAAAAATTACTTGGCTGAAATTCGTTTTTATGATTAAAGATATAGCCAAAATATCCTGCACTTTGATCGGTTTTATGTAGATTTTTTTCGAAATAATAAACTATTTTTTATGGAACGATTAAACGGAAAAGTTTATACACTGACTGCTAAAATGTTAATACACTTCATTTTAATGATTTAAGATTTAAGATTTTGTTACCTTTTTGGATATTTTGGTTGATGCATTAAAGTTGAGGAGGTGACATAATTTACTTTTAAGTTTAGTCTTTCCTATAACATTTTGCTACATTATACATTTCTTACAAACAATTTATTCCAAACTAAACGATTAATGTGGCGCATCTCCCAAACAGTTTAACTTCCGTTTTAATATATTTTATAAAACACATTTGATACCAATCACACAGCCGCCCCAATAATCTCCAACACGTTTTCCCCATCAAACCAACTCAATTCGCCATAAAGTCAGCTCTACCACCGACACGGCTCAGGAAATTTATAAATTGCACACGAGACCGAGCTTAATGTGGCCACTTTAATAGACGCCGCCACTTATCGGGCGCCGTTGATCCAAACACCAACAGGCGGACACACTGGCAACTGTTTATTAAAGAATACAAAATGCTATAATTAATTTTTCTATTATTTTCTCAAATACTCCCCGCCATTACCGAGCAGGCGGTGGGGGCAAGTGGGGCCAGAACGTGGCCATTGAGGAGTCAAACACTATTTCCTGGCCAACTTAATACTCGATTAATTTACAACGCGCACGAAAACAATTGAGGCGAGCGTTTTTGGGAGCAGAGGGAGGAGGTGGTAGTGGCTTTGGCTGGGACTCCACTGCGAGTATTATGACGTGCCGGCCGAGTTCGATCAAAGAAAGCATAAATAATGCCCCGACAGCCGGTCGAGGACCAGAACTGGTCTGGTCCAAGACTCTGTGGCAGTGCCTTCCGCTGGTGGCCCGGACCCAAATTTATGCAAACGGGTTAATTAACTAAGGCAGAGTAAAGCAAAAAAAAAATAAATAAAATAAGGGGAAAACGGCGAAAATTCGAGTGCTTCAGCCGGGTGGTCCTCCTCCCATTCATTGCCCCCTCACTCTCTGTCTCTTGGCTCCCTCGAGCGTTTTAAATGTGGATCAGTCGTGGGCGTCTAACAAGGCGATGGGAGCAACAAAAAAAAGCTGGCTAACTACATTTGTTCCCCTCATTTTGGACATTTCAAATGATATTTTATATATAAATCGTTGGTATGTCGGTTGGCCAGAGACTCAATCACTCAATCGAAGGCAGCTCATTCATTCGTTCATTCATTCATTTATGCAGTAAGTCAGTCAGTCATCCAGTCAGCGTGTTGCCACCAGATTTTTATCGCAGTTGCCTACAGACGCTTAATTGCCGCTTTATTACCTGTGGAAATGTCAAAGATACGAACATGGATAATCGTATTTGATTTGGGATATTCACTATTAAAATTTTTAACTTTGATATTATCTTTTTAATATAATATTAGGTATTAATTTCTAGGATATATTCATCCATTTGAATTCAGTAAATACTATATTGAAGTAAAAATACTTTATACATTTTTTAAATGTTTAGATGATATGAAATACAACATTTAGAATACAGAAATTTTAAATAATAACAAATTTAAGTACATAAACTCCTGATGGTATCTCTTTTAAGTTTATAAGAAGTGTTAAGAATTACCAAATGCCTTATACATGTGTATAAACTATTGAATGATTCCGATTATTGTATACCCCTTTTTTCCTTGCGGACTAAGTACCTCATAGTCGGGAAACTTGGCTATAAGATTCCGTTTTCTTTATTGTACACATTTCGCATACGCAACGTTGTCCAAGCACACAGTGAGCATGGCCATAAATCATTTAATCAATATTCTGTTGTGTCAAGAGTAGCAAAAGTTATGTTGCCCACAAAACACATGCTCCACATTGAGGCTCAACAAGTGAGCTTTGAGTTCTGACGTTTTTCAGCAATCGCTTCAGTCCTTTGCTTAAGAAAATAAGAAACTTTGCAATTAAACTGTCAATTCGTTGTTATTTTTAGAATTATTAGTATTTGATTGTTAATTTATTGCACTGCATTGCATTTGATTTGTGGCCAAATGTGTTGAATGGCATGTTGGGCATTGGTGAACACATTGTGTATACGCCAAGTTGTGCAGCGATAAAGTCATGCTCCAAGGCCACTAATGGTTGTTCATGTCCAAATGATAACTGAGATCTCATCTTTATCCCCCATTCCCTGGCCCCATAGAATGGTCAACTACAACTCCGCCCATACAGATGCAAAGTGGAACCTTAAAATTTTACGCACATTTGCGCCGAAGACCGTTAAGCGAACGGAAGTACCATCAAGGCGGCCCACACACACGCGATATGTGACCACAGGGACCAGTTTACGACTGGGGGGAGGGGGAAACAAAACGGAAAATGGAAAACAAAAAAAAAGAAGCCAAAGACAACAAAATTGTCAATAAAGCCAAAAGTCTGAGAGACTAACAACCGAATGGGAAAAGACTCAGGACCCACGCAACAAATCTCCAGTGGGCGTGCAAGTGGCTCTCAAACTATGGCATGACAAACGCATTTCCAAACAAAATCACCAGGCAAAAAAAAAGGAAAAGGGGTAAACATTCGTGATTCCCATTGTGGCCTTAATGACATCATTTGCCCAGGCGAAACATCTGAATGGCGTCAGTTGATTGAACTTCGCATCGGTGGCCCCGACATCCGAAGGAGTCGTAGGCCTTTCTCCGCCACTCTTTTCATTCATGAAAATGCAAATCCCAAACGCTGGCAAGTACTTGACAGCTGCACTATAGTCAGTTTTAAGTCCCAGTCATATGCCAAGTGCCTTGAGGCACTGCTTCCTTCTCCAGCTCCCCACCTTCCCAAGACGGCAAAAAACAGCAATGGAGCTGGTCTACTATCACCTATCGTATCCGATCGTGTCGCGTGCTAAGCTGTTCATATTTGGAAATACCCTATAATTCACCAAAAGCATGTTGACTAGCACATTATTATGAATATTTGGGATTCATAGAAATAGTTATTGCAAAACAACTCTCATTTAACTTCCATTGTAACCATAAGGCTACGAATGACATGAGTATTATTATTGTTCATTTAAAGAATAACGATAATATTGATAGTACCCCGAAAATATCGAAACACATCGATGGTACTATCAATGCTGTAACATTTTTACTGTGCAAAATAAGGGACAAAACAAACTTTTAACAATCATTTTTGGGTATATACAAATAAAAACAAATACTCAAAAGGAGAAGTAAAGATTTTTTGAAACCTACTTCAAAAATATATATTTGAACTATTTTTTTAATACTTTCGATATTATAACGTTAACTACATATATATCATGGTGCTTCTCCGTTAGATACTCTTATTGAACTCTTTTTTTCTATATATATAGCCTTTGAAGACCCATTGACATTGTAAACTCCAATCATTCCAGACTTTCAAGTATTTTTGTAGAGCATTCAGAGTCCGTTACTGCAAAAAGTGTGCCAACTCTCTTTTAAATTTGCATGCACTTTTTTGCCCATATTTTAGCTATATATATTTTTATAGATCGTGCAATCAATTTGAAAAGTGTTTTTGCGTTGGTTTTACCGGATTTATGAATGAATTTATTTTCGTATGAGCCTTCTGGCCCGCTCCCCCTTCAAATACTCATACGCTAGACAGACTTGTCTGGCTTGTTCCGACGTCGTCGTCGTCTTCTCCCACAGCTTTTTTCGCGTCCATCGTCCGTTTGGGCCGTCGTCGCATTTGTCGTTTGTCGCCCGAATAGGAAACCCAATGCAAATGTGGGCGGACTCGGAGGCGCTGCCTACGCGCAACCCACAAACCCAAACCCAAACCCAAACCCAAACCCCAACCGAACAACAGGCGGGAGGTGGGAGCGGATGACTGCCTGGCCGGCTGGTGGGTCTGGTGGCTCTCAACGCAACAGTTGGGGGCTGCTTGGGTGCAGTTAGTTGGCTGCCACTGACAATGACGTACTCGTGGCCCAGTAACCCAAGACGGGGAAAGCTCAAAGAAAGGGATTAATTGTATCGATCCAGCCAGTTTAGCCTAGACATTGATTTATTAGATTAGATTGTTGATTAGTGGAAACTAATCTGATGAAAACATATATTATTAATAAAGATAAATAAAACATAATTAACATAATATCTTATAATTTCTTTTAGATTGTCACTGCAGTCCCATTGGTTCCCTGTCATCGGATTGTGACAAGCGCACGGGTCAGTGCTCCTGCTTGGCCAATGTCACCGGAAGGAGGTGTGACAAGTGCCGGTCGGGACACTGGAACCTCACCGAGGGCACCGGCTGCCGGGACTGCCGATGCGATCCCCACGGATCCCGGGGACATGAGTGCAACCCGTGGACGGGCCAGTGTGACTGCAAGATCGGGGTTGGTGGCCAGCACTGCAACGAGTGCACCGAGGGCTTCTTTGGCTTCAGCACGGAGGGCTGTCAACGCTGCTCGGCCTGCACGGCTGAGGGTCAGGTGTGCGATCCCCACAATGGCCGCTGCATCTGTCCGAAGTTCACACGTGGATTGGGCTGTGGCCAGTGTGTGCCGGGCACCTGGGGCTGGCAGAACCGGATGGGATGCAGGGAATGCGACTGCGACCATATCGGTTCCATTGGACAGCAATGCGCGGCAAGCGATGGTCAGTGTCAGTGCCGGGAGGGTTACGCGGGCAGAACGTGTAAGACCTGCGCCGTCGGCTACTTTGGATACCCGGAGTGTCGTCGCTGTGCCTGCGATGTGGAGGGGTCCTTCACAAGGACGGATGGCTTAATCGCCTGCGACTCGAATGGCCAGTGTCCCTGCAAGTCGCTGGTCGTGGGTCTCAAGTGTGACACTTGCATGCAGAGTACTTTCGGACTCTCGGCCCTCAATCCCGAGGGCTGCACCCGTTGCTACTGTTTCGGGCGTTCTGGGGAATGTGAGCAGAGCAACCTGTCCTGGGGTCACATCCGCATGTCGGAGTCACGGAACTTGAGCATCCAGCAGATAAGACCCCAGAACATACCCGGCTCGGACTACGAGTACATTGTGGTGGTGCAGATGGCGGGCAGCAAGTTTCATCGCGAGGATGCGGAAATCCAGCGCATGAACGATCTGAACTTGGTGCCCAAGTCCACGGGCAATGTATCAATCGGAGCCTACGGACCCTTCTACCACCCGCTATACTTCCAACTGCCACCGCAGTTCTACGGAGATCGCACCAGCAGCTACGGTGGCTTCCTCTACTTCACCCTGATCACGACGGGGGCCCAGAAGCCGCTGGAGCGCAAGATCTTGAGCCAGTATCCTCTGGTGCAGGTGCATTCCCACTCCAAGCTACTGCTAGACTTTTACGAATACGAGGAGTTCGAGTACTCTCTGAACGTGACCCATAGAGTGCCGCTGCATGAGTCCTATTGGAAGTACCATCACACCAACCAGGCCGTGGATAGGGCCACCCTGATGGCTGCCCTCCAGAATATTCGACACCTCTTCATTAGGGCCTTTGCCTTTGCAGATTTCCAGGAGGTGGTGTAAGTATTGATCTTTAAAATAGTATAGATTGTAAATATTAATGTAATATTACTTTGTCAGCCTGCAAAACGTCCACATGGATGCGGCAATCTACATTAAAGGCTCCACAAATCTTATAGCCAAGGGCGTGGAGCGCTGCAAATGTCCCAAACGCTTTGATGGGCTGTCGTGCCAGGATCCAGGACGATCCTTTTACCGTTGGCGAAACACTACCGTTGTGGAGAGTGTGTTCATTGAGGACTTGATAGGCAGAGCAGCTCCCTGCCATTGCAATGGTCGCAGCAGTGATTGTGACAAGGAAACTGGTGTATGCTTGGTAAGACAATTCTTTGACCTTGTCAGGTAAGAGATTTCTAAGCACCTTTTCACCATCTCCCATAGAATTGTCGAGGTAACAGCGGTGGCGACCATTGCCAGCAGTGCGCGGATGGCTTCTATGGAGATCCCAACTCCCAGCACGGCTGTCAGGCATGTCCCTGTCCGGAGACCAACAGAAACTTTGCCCGCGGCTGCAATGTCTGGGACGGTGAAGTGAGCTGTGTCTGCAAACCTGGTTACACCGGTCGGCTTTGTGAGAGATGCCAGTCGGGATACTTTGGCGATCCCACACGGTATCCCAACAGTAGCTGCCAGCCGTGCAACTGCAATCCGGATGGCATCCGCACCGAGGGCTGTGATCCGGAAACGGGGCGATGTTATTGCCGTGAAGGTGTCACTGGACTTAAGTGCGACAAGTGCCAGGCGGAACGACATCATCTGGTGGATAATGGCTGCAGGGGTGAGTAGATAATAAATCCCTTCCATTTCTCTTAAATTATAAATTATGTTCGATTTTCCCTTTTCAGTCTGTGACAATTGCACCCTTCTGTTGCTTGATTATGTGGAACTTGTGGGGCACAAGCTGCGTCGAGGAATGCACAATATGGATCTGACCGGGATACCGGCTCCATATCGTAAGCTGTCCGAGTACGAGAGAGCCTACGTTGAGTGGAACGAAAGACAGCAGGACTTTAGTCAAACCAGGAGACTGCTGCAGGACTACGACTCCGCTGGCATCCTTAAGCTAGACGCCCATGCCGAGAATCTAAAGTTCCAGTCTCGCAAGGCAGTGAGCACCATTGGAAAGCGCGAGTTTGCCATCAAAACGATGCGGGAGGATGCACTGGTACAGCGGCACGACGCCGGGCTAGTCCGGGCAGAGGTCCTTCAAACCCTATCTGACCTTCGGGGCTATGGAAAGAGTGCCCAGCACCTAAGTCTGCCGACGGCCCTGAAGCAGGCTCGGTTCTATCTGCAGGCTGTTCAGGAGCACGACCAACTGGTCCAGGGAATCCGCAGCACCAACGAGTGTGCCTGGCGCCACTACTACGCCATGGGAAATGCTTCGGACGCTGCCTTTGATGAGAGTGGCCACCTGGAGATGCTGTGGCGGGACCTCAACCAGACGAATCACCGTATAGTAGACCTGAGACTGCACGTGGATCGAATTGTGGAGGTGGAGAGCGAGGCGGAGGATGTTTTGGAGCACGTACGCAATCTGAGTGGTCACGTGGCCGAGTCCTACCAGGAGCTGAATGATCTAAACCAGCTCATCTCCGAGCACACCGATCCAGGCTTCCTGGAGCAGGGCGAGGGTCTGGTGAGGCAAACCCTTCAGCGGCAAATAGATCTTACCGGGCAGCTCAACCATTTGGACGGATCGCGGGTCCTGCTGAACACCACCTTGGGCGTGAAGGCTGAACAGCAGCGGGAGGTTCGCAAGCATTGGCTTCCCAAGGCGGAAAAGCATGCCAATCATCTCTTGGAGCGATCCAACGAGTATGCCCGCCAGTTTCAACCTACCAGGAATGGAGCCCGGATAGCCATGCTGGCCAGTTCGGCGCACAGCAATATAACCAAGGCCATCAACGATGCGCGACTAGCATCGGCCCTGGCCAAGGAGCGAGTGTACGAGGCCCAGAGGACACTTTATCCCAGTGATGGAAGCTCCATGATCGATCGAGCCAAGCACTCCTTGCACAGGTCAAGGCAGCTGCAGCAGGAAGCCCTCAAGCAGATGCACAGGTCCAATGTTCTCAAAGACAAGCTACACCGGCAGGAGCAGCAGGTGGAGGGCATCAAGGCCACCATCTTTGACTGTGGACTGCGAACAAACAACATCTCCAGCCAACTGCAGGGCCTCTCCGAGAGCTCAGCCCGCAGGCAGACCAAGGAGAGCCTTGAGCTGGCCGAGAGAACCGGGGAGCAGATGCGAGCAGAGCTCCGACTGGCCAAAGAGATGGAGGTTTCTATACAGAACATGCGCAAGTCCTTCTCCACCCTGGAACCGGACTGGGAAATCAAGTTGGGCATGGCCCAGGAGAACATTTCGTTGACCAAGACCAATCTGCGGCTAGCAAATGTCTCCCTCAGCTACCTCGAACGCCAGGCCGCCCAGGAGCAGCAGGTATTCGAAGTTTGGAACAACAGCATGGCCCAGCAATTACAGCAGCTCAGAGATCAGATTGCCAAGGCCAGGCATGCGGCTGAAGCGGTGAGTAGTGAACACTTTTGAGTTATTTTATTAAATTCTTTAATTTGAATTACCCTATTTTTCCCCTGCAGATTGACGTCTCTTTGGAGTCCCTGGGACCCAAATGCAGTCGTTCGTATTTGCCCGCCTCTTATGGATTAAGCACCTCGAATAACCTTCGCCTCAGCTTTGCCCTGTCCAATCATCTCGAGAGCTCTCCACTGATCCATTTGGAGGGTAGCGAGGGACGGCATATCACTCTGGAGCTGCACAAGCGTCGGGTACGCCTGGTTTGGAATCTCGGCGGAACCACTGCCACGGTTACGCATCCCATGGTGGTCCAGACACGGGATCCAAAGTACGACGATGCCTGGTTCCATGTGGAGGCCAATCGGACGCTTAACCTGGGCAGCTTAATGGTGCGCCGGATGAACAACTACGGCGAACTGACCCCCACTGTTCCATTGACCATCACTGGATCCACAGACACGGAGCACACACGCTTCTATCAGTCTCGTCACGATCGCATTTCCTTGGGTGGCTTCGCCTCAAAGGACTTGCAGCTCACACCCGGACTCAATGTCGTGGTGCACCAGGTGGAGGTGGACAACAAGCCCCTGGGACTGTGGAATTTTGTAACGAGCGAGGGAAGCTGCGGGGGAGCAATGGTTGGAGCCCGAGAGTCGGCAGCTGCATCCACGGCTCGCCACTTTAACGGCCTGGGATATGCCCAGCTGATGAAGACCCGTCCCAGACCGACCCGTAAGAATCTGTTCTCCGTGCAAATGACCTTCAGAACGCTGGACGAGAATGCCCTGCTCTTTCTGGCGGTTGATGACAAGAACGTAAGTATACATACTATTTCTTACTAAATTAAGTAATAAATTATGTTTGCTTCTGCTACAGAACCGCTCGGTGTCGGTAACCTTGAGCCGGGGTCGGATCATGTTCCGCATCGACTACGGCGACGAGTCCAAGCTGGAGATTAACACCACCAAGAAATATAATGTGGGTCAGTGGATCAAAATAGAGGCGGCACGAGAGTTCTCAGCCAAACGAAGCACGGAAAATGGAATGCTTCGTGTGAACAACGATCGTCCGGTTTCAGGAGCTCCCACACTACCAGTAAACATTCACATGCTACCGGATCTGTCCAAGGCGGTTTACTATTTGGGCGGAGTTCCACCAGGTAGGGATAAGGCTATTGATCATTCTCTTAAACTATATTTAAATAATATTTCTAACATCGTACATAGGTTTCACTTCGGGTACTTCGAAAGCTCCTGGAGCTGATAATCCCTTCCTGGGATGCATGAAGGATGTCCAGGTGAATGGGGAGACCTATGATCCTCTGGAGAGTTCCAGTTATTACGGCGTAGAGCCCTCCTGCAAGGACATGATAACAAAGTGAGTAGCTGGGCTCCTACATTTTGAATTAAATTCTAATAGGTTATCATTCTTTAGGGCTGGCTTCTCTGGCAGTGGTTACTTGGAGCTACCCTCGCAATCGCTTCGGAAGCGGTCAAATACCGCCTTGGTGTTCCGTACCCTGCAACCGGACTGCCTTCTACTCCTGGCCGCCTATCCGCCGGAAGTTCTGGCCGACTACGATGCCAGGGACATCAAGGGAAACTACTCCATGAGCTTGGTGGATGGCCAACTGCATGTTTGGGTGAATTCGGGACGTAGCTTCATCAAAATGTCCTCCAACTTTAGCCAACTTAATGATGGAGAACTGCACGTGGTTAATCTGATCAAGACGGGTCGGAGGCTTGAGTTAATGGTGGACGATGAGCTGCAGGAAGTGCGAAGCCTGACTGGCAATCCGACGGTGGTCAGTCTGCCCCGGGACACGGGTGGCCTCTACATAGGAGGAGCACCGCCCCACGAAAGTTACACACCACTGGCTCCCACTTTTGTGAACCTGGAAGGAGCCATCCGAGATGTGGTGTTCAACAACCGAACCGTGAACTTCAACGACGCCCTGACCTTCGCCAACGTTCAGATTGGCCGCAATGGTCCCCTGATGGGCAGCTTGAAGGGAGGACTCTACGATGTCCTGCTGAAGACGGAACCGATGATCGGGAAGAGTTTCACAGCCTCGCCCGAGGGCTGCAAGCGGGTAAGTTGCTAGAGCCTTCTTCTTTTCCGGCTTGGTTTGAATGGGGTTATTGATCGGATTGGGGTCTTGCTGTCCATCTGATGCATGTAAATATGTGACCGCCTAACTATGTTAAACTCAACCGTTTCTTTTTGTTTTATAGGATTTTAGTTGCTAAGCAATTATGTCAAAAGCGACTACGCTAAAAGCTTCAAGCGCTGCGCTTCACGAAAGCTCATTTGTATACTAATTTCGCCTAAAAAACAAAACAAAATCTAACCAAACAAGCTACTCTATGTGGTCTACATGTGGATTAATATAACAACCCAACCATCATCAAAGATATAACCTCAGTTCTAGCATTAAGCTTCAGGCTTCAGGAAAATGCCCACAAGAGCATGCTCAGAGGGTAGAATTCAAACATCGAATCAAAGACCTCTGCTCCTGCTCCTGTAGGCCGGCTGATTTACATAATTTTAAGCCCGGTAATCGATCGTTTTAAGCTTCTGGGAGCGTCTATTCATAGTTCTTAAGATTAAATGCTCTATGATGTAAATATTTCATACGACATGTTTGCTAATACATAGATAAGCCTGAATCCAGGGCTCAACTTAGTTCATAAGACTCGCCATATTCAGATCACACACATCACTCATCAACGCTTTGTGTACGTTTTTGCTTTCATTACTGTATTATACAATTAACATTTGCTTACTGCAACGTGGACATTTAATTGTTATCACATTTTATCAAATAAAAAAAACATTTTTATAACAACGAAAATCGAACAAAAGTCATGGCAAAGTTTTTATTTTCTAACTCACACTCGCTGGGTGAGTTCGCTCACTCGGCAAAGATGCTACGCTTAAATCTCAGAAACTAACACAAAGTCGTCGCGGTGAGTTGAGTTCCAATTCGACTTGCGATAGACCCAAGCCTAATCACCTTCCTCTCTTCCAGATTGGCAGTTACTCCTACGAACCGAATGCCTTCAAGTTCGGCGACGACATCTACAGCTACTCCCAGCTGAAGCTCCCGGAACGCCACTTCTGGCAGCGCAACTTCCACCTGAGCTTCGACTTCCGCTCCTTCTATCCGAACGGCATGCTCTTCCTGTCCCCGGGCAGCAAGGAGAAGCCCAAGCACTACGTAGCTCTCATCCTCAAGGACGGACAACTGGTCCTGGTGGTGCGGGGTCGGCGGCGCGAGGAGCTCCAACTGACTGCCAAGTTGAACGACGGCGAGTGGCATCGGGTGACGGTCAGCTGCCAGGATCGCAAGGTCACCATGTCGGTGGAGATTGGGCGCACAGACCAAAAGACCTCAGCCCAGATGAAGCTGCCCAAGAAGATTGGAGCCTCGCAGCTGCTCCTGGTCGGCGGACTGCCCCAGGCACCGGTCAAGGTGTCCTCGGAGCTCTATGTCCGCCTGGAGCCGTTCAAGGGCTGCCTCCGGAGAGTCAGCGTCAACAACAGCACCCAGGACCTGGCACGTCCCGGCAAGCACTCCAATGTGGGTCAATGTTTCCCCACTGTGGAGAGGGGCAGTTACTTCCCCGGCGATGCATATGCCATTTACAGTGAGTTGGAGAGGAGTCTGAGAATAAGGATTTCTAATGATGATTTCATTGCCTTTGCAGAGAAAAACTTTAATGTCGGCAAATACCTGGATCTAGAAACGGAATTCCGTACATCGGAACTATCGGGAATCCTGCTAAGTGTCTCAGAGCCCAAAGGCTATCCTGCTCTATCTTTGGAACTACACAATGGCAATGTAAGCTGTATTATTACTATTACTATAATTTTATTTACTTTCTTATAAACTAATTATATTTACGGAATAGATCATATTCTCCTGCGATCTTGGGGATGGAATGCCCATGCGTGTGGAGTCTGCACTGCCCACAAAGTACGCTCTTTGTGACAACAAATGGCATAACATATCGGCCTTATACGATGGCGAGCAGATTGTCCTTCGTATCGACCAATTGCCAGCCGTGATTGGTGTGGGAAGTCAGCGAAGTGCAGGGAAGGTGCAAACACGCTCTCCTCTCTATATAGGCGGGCTGCCAGGTAAAACTAACTAACTAACACATGATTTTACATAGAATTAACTTTTCAATATCCTGGCTTGGCAGAAATCGCTCCCAGTGGGTCCCTGATGGCGCGGGAGAACTTCAAAGGCTGCATCCGGCACGTGTCCATCCGGAACGAGAGACGCGATTGGATCGACATGGACGACCTGAGGAACGTGCTGCTGAGCGAGTGCCTCGTGTCCAGCGATGAAAGCTGAAGCTCACTGAACCCGATGGGCTGAACGCATCGCATCCTGGGGTTCTTACGGTTCCTGTTGACGCCACACCAAAACTTTTTCCAAATGTATTGTGATCAATAACGAGTTTAGAGCCAGTTATTTATAGCCTTTCACTGCCATATAAGTTAGGTTACTTAGGATTAGCATTGCCTACTTTTACTTCATTGCCAGTGACTGCATTTCGAAGTTTGCAATTTGATTTATAATTTATTTGCTAGTTTATGTCTATCTTAATTTACCCTTATTTATTTTATATTTTAAAAGAGGCTTTAAGTTTGTATTGTATCAAGGCATACAGCTTATACAAATACTACATTTTTATTTTTACGAATCTCCTGTTTGTACATTACGCTTCGAAATTTACATAAGTAATTTGCATTATTTTCATTTGTACATAGAATCGGTCATTTAGTGTATAGTTACCATTAATATTCACTTAAAATATTACAATTTTATTGAATAAATAAACCTTTTATTTAAACTTTAAACTATGAAATGGTTTTGATAACAGAGATATAGGTTATATTATGTTGCATTTATAAGTTCAGTATTATTTTTAAGTAAATATGATTCTTTATGACTATATTCTAGTAAACTACTTTTTGAAACAATGAGACGTAAGGATATCAGTGACAACCCAAACACTGGATCGACGCTTGGATTTTTTAATCCTAGAATTCAATTCGATTTTAATATTATTGGAACTCAGGGACTCCATTTTCAAGATTTATTAGTAGTATATTTTTCGAATTTAAAAACGTTTCCTTGGACTTTTGTTTCACCAGCTTGAATCATTACTTTCGATACTCCATACAAAACCGTTCCTATATATTTTTAACTCTTAGCACACAATGAGTGTGCAAAAGTCCGTCCGAGGTAGCCGACGCACCCGCAGATCAGTCGGCTCCTTGGATCTTAACCACTACATTTACTGCATCAACTTCTACGACGATGGACTGAAGGCTGTGCGGGATGAGTTCATGAAGCGAGTGGTCAGCGGAACTCGTCGGGCTGTATTCGTAATCGATTTGGATAAGGAAGTCGAAGAAGCTACCAATCTGAGCCTGCGAATGTCCAGGGCAAAGCCAGGATCGACGACCTTGCCCTTCGATAAGCTAAGCGTTGCTCTGATGCGCATTCGTGACTGTGTCGCCGAGTACGAGAAGGTAACCAGGACCATTGAGGCGGAGTCTAATTTCGATTTGCACAACTACTGGCAACGGAATATTCCGGCCCAGCTGAAGAACCTTACGGCCGGGGCTACTAAGAAGAAGGGTGTGGCTGAGTCCAGCCGGGAACCGGCAACGGCAAAGCCCAAAACTGGTAAGGGAACCAGTGACAAGGTGCGCATGACCAAGATCAGCTGCGTGTCGGTCACAGCCAAAGAGCATAACAAAGTTGGCAAGGGTGTACCGGCATCCAAAAGGGTGGTAAGTAATCAAAACACTTTAATCAGTATTAGGTTCTTGGACATCCAAAGAGATTGTTTCGGTGAACATATAACATAACATTTGCTCGTAACTTTATTTTCACTCCCTAGTACATTAGGGACAATCCGGCCTTTGCCAAGATTATGATCCTAATCATTGGGAACATGGACAACGAATTCTACAAGATGCTGTTGGGTTATGAGCAACCGTTGCGGGCGATTGTCCACTTCCTACCCGAGGAGAGCGCTTATGACCTCCTGGTGCCGCGTCCTCGTCGCGTGCAGCAGCTCCAGGAGACGTTGGTGGGCATCCAAAGGGGCATTCACGCTCTAAGGAAGCGGACCGCCGTGAAGCCGGTGGGTATCTTCCAACAACAGCTGCCACAGATGTCCGCCTGCATGGCATCCAGGTTCACCGATGATGTGTTCGACCAACTGAGCTGGTACATGTACGACGTCGAGACTCTGCGCGAATGGTATCGCTCGTACTACGTTGAGCCCTACAACGAGATCAACGTGAAGATGAACCCACAGCTGTCTATGGTAGGCACATTCCACATGGTTGAGTCGCTGAGCATCCAGGGCCATTATCTGAAGAGCCAGATGCCGTCTTCCCGGGCGGACGATGCGACCATTTACCTCTATCTGGAGTCGTTAATGAGCACTTTCGGCAACCCGCGGGAGCTAATGACCGAGGCGGAGGTGCTGCTGCTGGCCAACCCAACGCCGTCGGTTCAAACCCGAGTGCTGGACAAGGTGAAGGTCTATGCGAACGCCTTTAAGAGCTTGGTCAAGCTGGCCAAGAGCGAGCGCATTTTCGCGGAGCAGGCCAAAAACGAACGCATTTTCGTAGAAAAGGCCAACAAACTGCTGACCAATATAATCTCCTACATGGACCAGTCCGTGTTGCAGAACGTCTACTGCAGCTGCTTGGAGTACAACCTGCTGCGGCGCTATTTTACCACGGGCTACATCAACCATTCGCTGACCATTCTACCGTACAACGGAGAGCTAGAGCCTATATGCCTGCCAAACTATGCCGAGCTGTTTCTCACGGATGACTCGGTGATGCAGCGCGTCATCCAGCTGGTGAACGATTACGATGACTTCAGCGTGGAGGAAATGCGTCCCAATGTTCGGCTCTATACCTTCCGGAGGACCCTCAACGAGGTCTTTGAGAATGAGAAGCAGATTGTGATTCCAACGCGTCTCTGTTTCCGGGACTTTACTCTTTACGAAATGGATCAGTTCCTCAACGACCTTGTCACTCCAAAAATGTTTAACGATATGAACGGAAGCTTTATTTCTGGTGATAACCAGAGCTTATATGCCGTCACCAACGACACCGACACAATTATGGTCGCGTGCAGTGAGGAAAACGATCGTGTCGCAATAGATCCTAAGGTCTTCGTCCGACCCCGTTCGATCAAGAGTAAGCAGTCAAAGAACAAGCAGACGGATAACGAGGATGACCGATCCGTAAGCCAGAAAGCCTCCATACAGTCAACCAGAACTAAGCGTATTTCATCAAAATCAAATAACTCCGCGACACGCTTGGTAAGGACCTCGGGAACCCCAGCAAAGGATATCCAAGGCACGGACTCCAAATCATTTCAAGTGGGACTGCGTCGCGATCACCCCATGCTGAAGGGCTACAATCTGGACGACACTCGGCAGACGATTAAGTGCAAGACCTCCAAGTACTTCTTCGAGGAAGGCCGAATGGTGCTGTACGAGGAGAAGTGGAACTTTCGTCAGATGAATAAAACCCTCTTGCTGGAGATCGATGGTCAGGAGGTGCATTTCCGGAGTGCTGCTGGCCCGGTGGATGCCCTTGCCACCGATGGCTGTGTTCGGATCGAGTCCAAGAACGGCATCAGTGTACGAGCGTTGGCCAACGAGAGCGAGTGCTCTAAGGCGGTGTTGAACTTTCCCAACGGATTGAACACCTTCTGCCAGGACACCCATGTGGAACTCCTGTGGCAATACCAGGTAAGCCTATTAAGCATTGAAAATGGGAATGAAAAGGTCAAGATTATTATTTTGTAATATCAATACACATTTTTAAAACATTCACCATCCAATAGGAAAATGAACTGAACGAAAGCCGGCGTGTTTGCACCCCCTACGGTTGTGTGATCGTATTCTATCAAAACACCGACACCGTGGTGATCATGCGTTACAACGGAGAGGTGTACTACTTGTACAGCTCAACGGAGGCTGACAACGAGGAGGAGGAGGATCAGAACTCGGAGTTTCTCAACGCTTGCTCCACGCAGTCCACCTACAGCAGTTACCATCCCCTTTCCTCCGAAGGTAAGAAAAAGAGGTGCCGCCAGGTGAAGTCAAAGAAGAGTTCCACCTTTCGAGAATCGGGCGGGGCAGACACTGACCCTAAACCCACAAATCAGAGTCTGGGACCCAAGAAGAGCCAGAATAGTCGCATCTCTAAGGAAACGCTTGTGGGGAGTCGGAAAAAGACCACGTTCAAGACCAAGCAGGCAGCCGCCCTATTCGCCAGTATCCAATTCGAGATGAACTTCCTCAAGTTAATTATGGATAAGTACAAGATAAGCTACCGCCACCTCAAGCTGATCACCTCCCTGGGCAGCGTGGTTCATGTGCAGCAGGATGGAAAAATCTGGTGTGGCAAGCCCTTCCGGAACAGCGAGTGGCACGACTACTTCGCCAACGAGTCGTATTCGATGCGGGACGATGGAGTCAAGATGATCTGGACGCTGGAGGAGCTGCGGTGCTACCACAATGACGGCACTGTCATTACTTCGGCAACCATTGATGGCTGGGATTGTGGCACGGAGGTGGATGAAATCGATTTAGAGATTAGTTCGAGCAGTTCGCATTTAAACACTGATACTTTCGGAACAAAGGTGAGTTCTCTTTTAAGCTTGTTTCGACATTTACTTGTCTTTTCATTGAATACTTTTATTAATTTGGATTTACATATGATTAATGTACTAATATTTTATTTTTAATGGTCTTTTTACAGCATAGGGAACTCTTTTACATAAATAGCCCGACCGGCCTCTCAATGGATCGTGGACCGATTAAGCCTCCTGATGCTGATTTAGTGTCTGAATACTTTAGTACAAAATCGGTGATCGCGTCTAAATTCCAATCTGTGACCGATAAAGTGGTGGAAGAGGAGGAGGGTGAAATCATCCATGACATGAGCTTCATTACATACATGCTGAGCAGTGTTTTTATACACCACCGTGTCTATCCAGGCATCCAATTCTCCATCACATATGCCACCGATTTGAATCTAAGTATGGAGACCACAATCTTCACCTGCGACAACATGAGGGTTCACATATTCAAAGATCATTCGGAAAGGGAGGTTCAGCAATGTGTGCAGGACACAGACATTCAATCATCCGAAGCCGATTCCGATGAGTGGACTAAGCCGGGCATGCGAAAAACCTCTATAATTTCAGCAGCTTCCGAGGAGTTACCTCTTAGTGGCGAGGAGGAATCGGTCGTGATTGATCCTACGGTTGTGGAGATCGAGTGCAACAACTTGATGCTAACGATCCTCAAAAATCAGGCTACCATACAGACGCAGATTCAAAAACCTGGATGCCATGAGAATGCAAAATGCGGATTTGCCCTTCTTCAGTAAGTATAATCAAAACTTACCCGTTGTTTGGTAAATTTTAAAATAATTGAGAACATTTTTTTTCACTTAATTTTTAGACATATTAACAGAATATTTAATTACAATTTTTGTATTTGACGTTAATTTAAATTTAATTTTTTTTTTCAGAGATGATGTTAAATTGAAAGTTAACTTTGATCAAAGTCTAGCAGTCACTTTTCGTAGTTGGGTAAATGAGGTAACTAGTTTTATCACCTGTTTCTGCCCCAAATGGCGCACCAAGTACTTTGTGGAAACTCAAAACTCTCAATGCCAAAAGAAAGGTAGATGAGCCATTTTACTTAATCCCAAATATTAAAATTAATCTCCTTATTTTAGGTTTTGAGTTGTTCACATCGGTTCCGCCCCTGGGAAAATATAACTTTTGTGCTGGCAACTATTATATCGATGTGACAGAGCTTACTTCGGTAAATAGCCAACTGAAGAATAACTATGATTGGGTGGACAAGGATATGAACAAGTTTCCTCGCTTTCCGCTCTATAAGAAAGACCCACCGCCCTTCGAGTTCCCCTTAATACTTAACGCCAGGTATGTTTTGCAATAGTAAACAATAAGAATCTTCTGAACGTAGCTTCTTTAAGGATCTTTGCGAAGATACCAGCAAAACTTGGCAACACTGATCGGCTCCACCAGTTCGTTTCTGAGTTTGATACAATCAAATTCAAGAAGCAGCGATATCGCTTAAACAAGTGAGTTTGCAAGAATAACCAAGTAGAACATGGATTTCACACAAGCTTTGTATTTTCGCATAGAGCGGTTCTGTTCCATCTGCACCCCCGGCTGGCCTTGATGGTGCAAGCGGAAATCAGCAAGCGCAGCTGGAAGAGTCGTCACGCAGAACACCGGCGACGCCTATTCATGGAGCAACAGCGTCTCAGCCTCTACATGGCCATGCTGAAGCACAAGGTGTATCCAAATTACTTCCAGTTCAAGGATCAATTCTACTCCCACGTGCGAAATATTGACTTCTTCGAGTTTATGACGTCCAAGTGCAACGAGAATGTCCACCCCAAAGAGACTGAGTTAGAAAGGGTTGAACCACCCGAACCTCCTAGTCCACCAAAGAAGCCCAAGCATAAGAATCGTAAAAAATGTGTCTGCCCCAAGTTCCTTAACTCAATAGAATAGCGAAAATAAATTGAATCATCGGTTTAAAAATGAGCATTTCCTAATTGGATTTTATATGGTTGAGCCAAGCTTGTTATACCCTTGCAGGGTATTATAATTTCAGTCAGAAGTTTGCAACACAGTGAAGGAGTCACCTCCGACCATATAAAGTATATATATTCTTGATCAGGATCAACAGCCGAGTCGATCTAGCCATGTCCGCTTGTCCGTCTGTCCTTCTGCCCGTCTGTCCGTTTCTACGCATACTAGTCTCAGTTTTGAAGCTATCTGAATGAAGCCTTCTATATACTCTCACTCGTATATACAAATGTCGGAACGGGCCGGATCGGACGACTATATCATATAGCTACCATAGGAATGATCGGAAAATTAAAAAAAAAAAAATTAACTTTTTCAGTTTTCAATAGAATTGGATCAAATTTGAGATATAGCCATTTTACTATACTCTACAATTTTGCATAAAATTTTATGAAAATCGGACTACTATATCCTTTAGCTCCCATAGGAACGATCGAGTAATTAATACAAATAAATTTATTACTTTTTCAGTTTTCAGCTGATTTTCATCAAATTTGAGGTATAGCCATTTTATATTAGTCTTAAATTTTGTGTCAAATTTCATGAAAATCGAACGACTATATCTTATAGGTGGCATACAAACAATCGTTTGATGTAGAGGAAAAATGCAAATCTGTGTATGTAAAACTGCAAATATAATTTGTATAGGTGAATGAAATGAAAGCAGGTATTGCTTCATTGTTTTTTAACACACTAAACATGTTTATACTTCTTAGCGCGATTTTCTAACAAGGCAAATTAAAATTAAGTAATACTCGACAAAAAACTGAACTTTGTACAAACTACAATTACCCCTTTCGGTTTTTATTTAGTTTTTATATAAAAGCAATATCTAGCTCTGAAAAATGTGTTTTTTAACTAAAAGTAAAATTAGGCTTCATTAGCTATGATTTCCTATAGTTATAACTCATATCATTTAAATGTTTCATATTATAGGTAAAGTTATTGGTGGAGTATATATGTTTTTCCATAGAGTGAATATGTATATTGCCGAAAAAGTAAAATAATTTTAAACAATAAAAAAAAAAAACCTTTTAATAAATATCACATTTATTTAACGCTATTTAAGAACTATCTTTACATGAATTTGAATGCCTCTTGGTATTTTTTGGTATTTCGCAATAACGCACCACTTGTGTTGCCCTGTTAGCTATTCTGTTGTCATAATATATAGCTATAGCTAAATATCTACCTTTAAGCTGCTTATGAGTTTCTTAAAATGCAATTTTCTAGACTTGACATCTAACTTTTGTTTTCAAAATTTTATTAAATTACCAAACTAACCACAATACAAAATATAAAAAAATTTAATTTTTAAAGACTATTTTGAAACACTTTTCAGTGCAAAGTATTTTATCGCTTTTTCCAGCTTATTAGCTATAGCAAAGAATTTCTGCCAGCACTGCCACCAACACGCGCTCGGTCCAATCGGAAAGTAAACAAATTGCTGGGGATCCACAAGTTCCGGAAAAACAATGGGAGTTCGCGGTCTTACCAGCTACATAGCGCAGCGCGCCGAGATCTATCTGAAGCCCTTTGAGCTTCACTCTTCGGCGCTGGTTATAGATGGTGACAATCTGGCATGCAATTTGTACAAAGACGTGACCGGCAGCTACTCTGCGTTCGGCGGCGACTATGACGATTTCTACCGGGCAGTGGTGCAGTTTTTCCAGGTGCTGGCGGAGTGCAGCATCCGGCCATATGTACTGATGGATGGTGGCTATGAGGAGCGCAAGTTGCGTACAGTGGCCACCCGGCTGCGGGGCAAGATTTCGGTGATCAAGAAAATCAATCCGAATGACTCCATAACACTCTTCCCCTGCACCTGAAGGAGGTGTTTGTGGATGCAGTGCGAGACTGTGGCGTGCCAGTGATGCGGTGCGTCTTTGAGGCGGACGATGAGCTGGCGGCTCTGGCCAGAAAGCTAAACTGCCCAGTACTCTCCTACGACTCGGATTTTTACATCCACAATGTGAAGTATATACCCCTCATCACTCTTACTGTGAAGGTAAGTACATACATATGTATGTATATGTATTTCTGCTCTTATATCATGTTTTAAGCCTAATTTTTCTTGTGCTTCGCAGGTGCTCACCAAACAAGTGAAGGATAAGAGCAAAGCCAATCAGGAGTCCCGTGATCTGCGGCGCAACGAGGCCAAGCACGTAGAGAAACGCACCAAGGCCAACAAGATTGTGGGAGGCATCCAAGCGCCAGCTCAGGTGGAAAGGCCCAAGGGGAATACCAAGACGTACAAGTACCTTGACTGCTGCATTTATCGAGTTTCACATCTCTGCGGCCGCGGCACACTCAGCGCAGAGAAACTGCCGCTCTTTGCTGCTCTCCTTGGTAACGACTATATTGCCAGGAGCGCCTTCCGAAACTTCTTTGCAGCTGGAATGGGAAAAGCTGGAAGGAGTCGGAAGCTGAAACAGCAGCAGAAGCGTATACAAGTCATCCTGAAATGGTTGAAGGAAGAAACAGCGGAGTCAGCTCTGTCAAAAGTCCTATCTAGGCTAAAAAAGGTATTTGGTTGCTGCTTAATAATCTTTGAGCTTGCTTTATAAAGATTTCTATCCATTGCAGAGTCAAAGAGATTCTCTGGTGTCCCAGGTCCATGCAGCCATCTCTGGTTACTCAAATGAGTTGTGCCACGCTTACGATTTCTTCGACGAGCATTATGAAAATGCATTTCCTTATATAGAACCGCCAACTGAGGGGGAACTTAGCGATGAAGATGATTTGGATGGCTCTGATGACGATGCATCTGAAGAGGAAGAAGCGAATGTGGACCAACCTGACGAAGAGGAGGCTCCAGAAGATCAGGAAGCAGACTCTGATGGAGATGAAGAAGAAGAAGTTGAAGTAGAAGATAAAACCCTTCTCTTTCCCCAATGGTTTCTGGACAAACTATACCCAGCCAATCTCTCCCGATACTTTGTGGATCTGTTGCACCTGCGCAAGTACATAAATAATCCGCAGATTGAGCACTTTCCCTTCCATGATTCAAATGAACTAGCTTTACCCATTCTGAATTATGTTTTCTCCTTGCTCCATCATGTGGAGGGTGCAAAAACGGAGCCACAATTGGATGAGGAAGGATCTCCACTGCCCATCGAGTTTACCTATCTGACGCGAGCTATTCGGGTGACCAATGTGAAATATCTGAAGATGCCCATTGAAAGGGAGCCCAAGTATTCCTTTGAACCATCTAGTCCAGACGCACGGCACTTGAGGTTTATATTCGAGTCTAATTTGCCGCATGTTGAGACGGAGAAGCTATTCAGAAAGTTGGAAGACCTCCCGGAGGACCTAAGGCTTTATTTCCTGGCGATTATATACTGGCTGCATCGATCAGAGCACTGCGATCAGCTGCATCTCCACGCCCTGCTTCTCAGTTTGATTGTTCTGCGAACAATTGATGTTACCATACCCGCGGAGAGGGAGGTAAAAGCTTTTCACAAAAGATTTGGCAAGATCCTGAAGCAAGAACGCTCCGTAAGAGATAAGGAAGCCGCCGAGGGAATGAAGCGTGGAATTAAACCGTCTCTTTTGGAGCTTCCTGTGCCAGATCGCATGCCACATGTGCCGAAATCGGACTGCTACTTGACTCAAGAACGCATGTTGCCGCACTTTCACATGCAGGAAATATTTAAGAAGAAGTTTGATCTGTACTCATCAACCGTAATTCACGCTTTTGCCGAATTCCAAGCTGTGGTCTATCAACTCAATGGGCTTAACGCTCTTCTGGACTTGCCTTTCCCAAGTCCACGAATGAATCAGCTATTCTGCGGTGCCTTTGTCTACAATATGTACGATCTGCTGAGAAATCGCACGGATGTTCGTTATCATATCGAGAATTTCCTTCTGCCCGACTCAAAGCTAATGTTCGACTTCTATTGTTACCTGTTCGATTGGTGCGCGAAGTTTATTCCACATTGGAAGGAAGTGGCGGTGGATGAGTCTGCGGCAAAGGCAATACAAAAAAAGCGGTTGAAGAAACAGCGGCAGGCGGCCAGGAAAGCGGAAGCTAAGGCATCAAATGCGGATACCAATGCGGACTTGGTCAAAGATGCAGAACACGAAGATGATTTTTACGATTTAAATAATAAATTCTGTGCACTCAAAGTTGCTTAGTGGCACTAAGCATTCTTTAAGTAATTTTAATTAAGTTGAGTTTGAAATAAAAATTTTTTTTACTAGAAAATTGCCCAAATACATGTGCTATTTAAAATGTTAATGTAAATGATAATTATACAGTTTATCAAGAGTAATTTGCAGTCGAGCAAAACTTATGCCTATTAAGTTATTTAGAAATTAATCGTAAATTATCAAACAATATTTAAATAAATTTATATTATTTGTTTCTATTTTTTTTAAATTTATTTTAAAAAATACTAAGTTATGAAAAATCTGTTTATTAGTTTCTTTTGGTATATTTGGCGCATCTTCTACGGCCACACTGGAGGCGACGTCACTGCTGCGCTGTTATCGTTGTAATCAACAAAAAAAAAAACGAAAATAAACCAAGCCATTTCGCAGCCGACTGATTAAAATACTCGCTTAGTTTATTATCAGAGCTCCGACACTGCCAACACCAAATGCCACCGCTGTGACCTCGGGCCGGAGCAGGAGCAGTGCTGCCAGCGCAAGCAAAGGCCAAAACAAAGGCCCCAATCGAAAAAACCAAAACGTCATTGGCTGGCAATTAACTTAACAGACGGCGACGCCTACAACGGAAGTGGAGGCGGTCTCGACCCAGCTGCCACGCCCCCTGTACCACCGCCTCTCGGGCAGTAGATGCTGGTGGGACTCAGCGATCAGCTAGCGCGGATTATGGAGAGCGTCTTTGAGGCGTATTTGGGACCGGACAGCGTCCTCGCCAGCGCCGTCGGCCAGGCTGTGGGTAGTGGCGAACCGGAGGATATACCTAGGCGGAACACGGATGTCTGGGTGCTGGGCAAGAGATTTAATGCCATACAGGGTAAGCTAGAGGAAATGAGTCATGGAGCCAAGAGCCATTTTCTTGCTAAAAAGAAAATAATGCCATGAAGTTGGCTTGAGTTAAAATAATTATTATTTCTGCTTACCAGAACTAGAGCTAATCCGACGCGACATACAGTCGAGGCTGTGGTGCACCTACCGCCATGGATTTTCCCCCTTGGGAGAAGTCCAACTTACTTCGGACAAGGGATGGGGCTGCATGCTCCGCTGTGGTCAGATGGTCCTTGCCCAGGCTCTGATTGAACTCCACTTGGGGCGCGACTGGTTCTGGACGCCAGAGTGCCGGGATTCCACCTACCTCAAGATCGTAAACCGTTTCGAGGACGTAAAAAAGAGCTACTACTCTATACACCAAATCGCTCTGATGGGTGAGTCCCAAAACAAGGCCGTTGGAGAATGGCTGGGACCAAATACAGTAGCCCAGATCCTCAAGTAAGAGTCCATCTTTGTGTCAGAAATAAGAAGGCACCTCTTATTAGCTTAAAATCGTTCCAGAAAACTGGTGTGCTTCGATGACTGGAGCTCCCTGGCAGTGCACGTCGCCATGGACAGCACTGTAGTTCTCGACGACGTATGTAAGTCGAAAATACAGTAAAACCATTCCAAGTTGTACCTCTAGTAAAATCTATCCTCGCAGACTCGCTGTGTCGAGAAGGAGACTCTTGGAAGCCGTTGCTCCTCATTATACCTCTACGTTTGGGCATCACCGACATCAACCCGCTCTATGTGCCAGCCTTAAAGAGATGCCTTGAACTAGATAGTAGTTGTGGTATGATCGGTGGTCGACCCAATCAGGCTTTGTACTTTCTGGGTTATGTGGATGACGAGGTCCTCTACCTAGATCCTCATACGACGCAAAGAACTGGTATGGTGGGCCAAAAAACCGAAGTGGGAGAACAAGAATACGACGAGACCTACCATCAAAAGCACGCTGCCCGCCTGAGCTTTTCCGCCATGGATCCCTCCCTTGCGGTTTGCTTCCTTTGCAAGACCAGTGACAGTTTTGAAACACTGCTAACCAAGTTTCGGGAGGAGGTGCTCAGCCTTTGTTCGCCGGCTTTGTTCGAGATTAGCAAGACTCGTGCTGTGGATTGGGACACGGCGGAGGATATCGACTGGCCAACTATGCCTGACATTGACTGGCCCGCGGGCACCTCGGACTCGGACTCGTTCGCCATAGTTGGTAAGAGCGGGAGTATTACTTAAAAGTTCTGCATTGGTAGATGTATTATTTCACTAGAAAACCCACAGGCTTCGCTTCTTTTAAAAAGAATATGAAATTCATTTGAATTTTTATATTTATACAAAGGCTTTCATTTCCTTTTTTGCCGTATGTCCGTCCGATTAAACCGATTAAACGATACTTGTCAGAGACTACAAAAACTACTAATTTTGTGACAATATTTATATCTATTTCTCGCCTCACTCCCGCTCTCAAAAATTATAAAAACATGTAACTATATATATCTTAGTTCATTTTCGAATTAAAGTATATTAATATCAAGTAATAGGACTGGTGCGTCGTTTTCGGATAAATTTAGTATAAGCTGATAATAAACGTGGAAGCATTTTTAACTTCTACTTTTGTGTCTTATAATAGCACCATTTGTAAATATTTTCCTCTGTCTTTCATCCTGTTTAAGTAAAGTTTTTTATGCGATTAATGTTCAAAATAATTTTAGCCACAACGCAATAGTAGTAAATAGAAAATAATAATAGAATAGTAAATTAGATATGAAATGTTGACAATTTCAATGGGTATTCTTTAATTTTATTGAATTTAGCATCGAAAATTCTCTACAAACTTCTAAAAGCTTTTAGTCTTTGTCAGTTGAAAGAATTAAATTGTCTTTCAAAATGAATGCATCTCGTTGGTTTATTCCAGCAATTATTGAAATCGTTTAATAACTTGTTGAATCAGTAAACTAAAAAGAGATCAAATAATTTGGAAACCCAGATATTTAGAACAAAAAATATTAAGAACTTAATTGATATATTTATGCTTATATTCGAGGCATATGTTAATTGTTAATTCTTATTAGTTAATACTTACTGGAGGCCTCCTACAGTTATCAAACCCACTCAAAAAATAACTCAACAATCCCTTGTCTTATCAATTCACTCCATTCGACAGAAGAGAGCGCGAGAGACGGCGACGCCGGCAGCAGCGGCAAAAAACCCAGTGAGAGTGCCATCGTTTGAGTGGGTCACCGGCACAGCGCGAGCTCCCTCTCTTGCGACGCCTGCGCCGCAGCGACGAAAACAGACGAAGCCAAGCCAGGCGAAAGTGGAGCAGCAGCTGAGGATGCGGCCAGGGAGGGGGAGGAGAATTAGATGAGGAGGACGTCGGACAGCGGACGGCGGACGATGCTGCGAATGCAATAAACTAAGGCTAAAGTGCATAATTAGACGACGAGCTGGTTGAGATTTAGATTTTAGAATGTTTACGATTTGTACGAACGCGAGTCTTAGCGATTCATAATAATGCTGTTTTATTGTACGCGATATTGACTCCACGGGAGACAATTTGGCAAGACATACACACACACAGACAGACACGCTTTTTGATGATCAATTAAACATTTTTATGCAACGTTGTACATGAAAAACTTGAAGAGATCGATCGCTTTACGCCAAGTGTCTACATAATATTCATATATTCGTTTCGTATATTCTTGTCTGTATATGCTCAAAAATGGACCAACAACTAAATACATAATACTTGGACTATATATGTATGTATATATCTCTATATATATATTAACTTTACTGCTCGCCTCTGGACACAAACTGAAGCTGCACAAAAGAATAAGGAACTTTCTCGAATGAACAAACCAAGGACAAGAAATGTTGAAATCTACGTTAACAACAAACTCGGGCCTATGCAGCTTACAATTGACACTAATTGGGCTTGATCTGTGTGATCTCTTGGGTCTTAGTCCCCATGGAAAGGCAAACTTTGATTCACTGCAACTTCTAGCCTGAACTCATTTTTCTTCATTCGTGTTTTATTTCCATTTTAAGTTAGGGAACTGCCTGTGATATATATCTATTTGTAATCTCATTCGTTGCTTATTTTCTGGCACAGTTTAAAAATGATCTGGTTTCTAATGCCGAAATCATCTAATTATGATTTTTTCAGAGCCTAATCAATGCGACGTTTGCCTTTCCCTTTCAAGGGGAACCCATAGATCCATCAGAACCGGGTGAGTAGTATTTTAAACATTCAACAACTATGTATCTGCGCATGCCTTAGAGTATGCAGCACGATCTCTCAATCCGCTTCTCCGCCTTGGGCTCCACATGGAGAGCCATCTCCACGTGCTTCCGTGCTAGCCAGGACTGTTTCTGGAGTCTGTTGACCACGATCCGGTAGGCGCCAATGATGTCCGAACGGGGACCACTCTGCCTCGCATTGATCAGCATCTCGGAGGAGAGTCCCATCTCGGCCAGCAGTTGCCTGGCCTCGAACTCCAGTGCTCCCAGCTGGCTGAGATCCTCGGTGGCCGTGGGCAGCATAATGCAGCTGCCCGTCTCCGCATCGTAGTTCTTGAACAGTGGACAGTCCTCGGCCACCTGAATATTCCAAGGGTTGATCTTGGTCGAGGAGCATTGAACACCGTTGGACAGCTGCTTCTCCGGCTCTGTTTCCAGGGGTGTGACCTTCTTCTTGAGACTGCCACAAAGCAAATACCTGCGTGTTGGACGTTTGGCCTGCTCGACAGGCACCGGCGGTTCCTTCATCAGGAACTCGTGACCAACCTCGATAGGCTGCAGGAAGTTCTGCACGAACATCTCGTCCTGCTGCCGCGTATTCATACTAATGGCCGGCTTCTTGACCACCTCCGCGTACCGATCCCGCAGAGAGGCAGACTTCCGCAGCCTGTGTGACTTGCTGCGCACCCAGAAGATCGACCTCTTTGCCGGCTTGCTGTGCTGGTTTATCTCCCACTGCATCAAGTCGGCGCTCAGCTTGGGACAGGTCACGAACTGGCTGTTCAGCATGTCATCGATGGTGGGCCGATGAGCGGGTATGTGAATCAAGATACGTTCTGCAAGAGGACGAGTTAAAAAGCTTTAAATAAGTACTTAGGAAATATAAAGGCTTAAATAGAGGATACTTACGTATAAGTCTTATGCAGGGCAAACTTAGCTGACCGGGCAGCAGGTAGTCACCCTTGAGTATGGCCGCCTTGAGGCCGGGTATTGTGGGTGCCCGGAAGGGCATGTTGCCCACCACCATGAAGTAGAGCAGGATGCCCAGGGCCCATACATCCACTGGAGCACCGATGTAATGGTCATCGGAGAAGAGCTCGGGCGCCGCGTACGGAGGCGAGCCGCAAAACGTGTCGAGCTTCTGATTGGCACCTGTCAACCGGCGTGAAATTGATTAGTTTGCTGACGCGGCCATGAAGGGGCTGCTGAACCCACCATTGATAAGTTGTGTGCTGAAACCGAAATCGGCCAGCTTGAGACGATCTTCCGAGAGGAGCAGGACATTCTCCGCCTTGATGTCGCGATGCACGTAACCCAGACTGTGCTATAAGTGCGGAGAAAGCAACAAAATATGTAAATCTGAAAGCTCTAGCAATCCTATTCTTTATAAATTTACCATATGTTTTACGGCCAGCAAGAGTTGCTTCAACAAAGGCGCCGCATGAATCTCCCTCAGAGGACCACCTTGAGTGATGTGGTTGTAGAGCTCCCCGCCGCGAATCCACTCAGTGACTAGGTAGACCCGTCCCAAAGTCTCAACCACCTCGAAAAGCCTTTGAATTACCAAAAATATACAATATAATCCTTTTTTAAGTACTATAAAGGACATACCTCAAAATATTTGGATGATGAACACACTCGAGAGTGGCTATTTCGCTGGACAGCATGCGCAGCGCCTTGGCATCGAGACCCGCTCGATCTAGGTCCACCACCTTAATGGCCACCTTGTCTGTAATCGGAATAAATGTGTATTTACTTATAGAAAGGATAATGGATAAGTGACAGCTCCTCTTACCACGCGTCAGCTGGTGGACAGCGAGTTTGACTTTGGAGAAGTTGCCGCGTCCGATGTCGCCACAAAATCTGTAGAGGCCAATGCGACGGCCGATAGTTACCTTTAATCAACAATGAAAACAAAATACAAAATATAAATAATAAGTGCAATTTCCTTCAAAATCGTGGCCAAGTGTAAGGCATTTCCCGAGCTTTTCCCCCCAGGGACAAGGCTCCCACTAAGGTTAAGCAATCTGATGCAGCGATTATTTGATACTCTAATGTACACACATGTTCTAACAATTAACATTGACTGCGCCCATTCCGGCCACAACTCGGTGCCTGTAATTTATGCCCTCGCGCCCCCGAAAAAGCCCTCGCGGTCTTGCAATTAGCCAAGGTCAAGTGCGGTACCTTTTTTGTTAATGTAATTTGAACTGTGGACTGCACTTGACGTGGCCGCTTTTTGCTTGTTGCTGGTCGCTCTGTGAGTGTGTGTGTTCTAGTTTCCTTTTTTTCCTGTTCTTTAATCCACCTTTTGAGCCGGCGAAGGCGGGGTGAGCGTTAATTAAGGAATGAGCAAACGAACGCAGCGCAACGCGGCGTATACGTAATGCGGATACTTGCATTCGGTCACACGCGCATTTTGCAACGCAAGCCCCGCACAAGCGGTGAATGAGCTCGCAAAACACTTGAAATAAAATTAGCTAATAATAAAATTAAAATTATGAAAAAAGCGGAATGGAATTGGTTTAAAGAAATTTATAAATGTTGAACATATTAATAGGTCCTGAAAAAGATTTATGAAACAGAATAATTTTCATAAAATGTTACTGAAATGTTACTTTTCGTGAATTATAAGATAAAAAGAAAGAATGAAACCTAATTTAAAAAGAAACCTCACATAGATAACACATGTTCTGCCAACATGTTGTTTATATTATGTTATTAATCCATCGTTACCATTATTTTACTAAATGAAATGCAACCTTTAAGGTATAAAATTGTAATAAATAGATTCTTTCAAGTAAATTAAATTCTTAAGTTTAGTTACTTTTATTTTCTTAACTGTTCAAATAAAAAAAAGAAAACTAAAGGGTAAAGGTTTACAAAATGGGTACATTTCATACCCTTTTTATTCTCAGTGCACCACGCGATAGCCTCGCCTAACGCCATTGGTGCACAAGCAAATTAGCCTTGAACCCCGACATAATTGCAGCGCTGCGGCAGAGGGTTCGTGTATTAGCTAACACACAAACACACCTTGTACACACACACACACACCCACGGCAGAGGCGGCGACAACAAGCGACAACGACTTTTCTGTGACGTCAGGGCGGTGGCGGTGGCGGTGGCGATGAAGGTAAACCCCCTTTTCAGTGCGCTGCCAAACAGGTTGCATTCAAGCTTATATGAGACGCAATTCATCTTGCGCAAGGACACCAAAATCTGGCACAATAAGTTCATGACACGGTGCGGAGATAAATTTCGCCGTAACAATTTGCAACCTTCGAGGATCTAACACCGCTCGTAACATAAAAGGGTGCTTGAGGAAATTTGCTTTATGTCACGGCTGCTCTGTAAATCGCATTAATCTAAACGAGTCCTGTGGCGCTGCAGGGCGGGATTAAGATGGATTTTACTCAATTGTTGTGACAACAAATGGTTGCATTTTGTAGTGTGTAGTGTAAGAGATAGATTTACTGCTAGTTAACTGAAGTATAAAATAGCTTGGGGCTTGGTAAACGTTTTAATCATGAAAAATTTGTAATATTTACCGTTTTCATGTACACTAAAGTTCATAATTAAAAACAAACTTGTGTCAATCAGTTCATTTCATAACATTTAACAATGTTTTTTTTTTTATATTTTAAACTGTTGAAAATAACTTGACTTCTTTGAAAATTCAACGCAATCATTATAAGTATATTACGCATACGCCCAGATGTCTTTGTTCATAGAGTAGATAATTATAATACAAACAAACATTATTTTATTATTATATCAATGAAAATAATTTGTATTATAATGATAATTTTAACATATAATCTCCAATTAATTAATTAATAATTTATTTTAAAATCCAACAGAATAATAATAATAAGTATATCAAGCATACGCAGTGATGATTTTGTTCAAATAAAAGTAAATTAGAATGCAAACGAAAATGAATACTTTTAATATACCAATAAAAAGAATTTTTAAGCTAATTCTCGTTTTAAGAATTAATTAATCAATAAATTAAGAAAGTACTTTAAAATCAAACAGAATACATATAAATATATTACGCATTCCCACAGATGTCTTTGTTCACATTAAAGTATACAAATAAATATAATAAAATAAATAAGAAAATAAAAAGAAATTTAATACTAACGCTCTAAATATGAAATAAACCTTTATTAATTCATTCATTTTATATTTAAATCCAACAGAATAAGAAAATGTATGTTACGTATACGCAGTGATGTCTTTGTTTACAGAGAACTAAATTGTAATACAAACGATAATAAATATTTGTTTTATACCAATAAAAAAATGTAATATCTATTCTCATTATAGGAAATAATCTTTAAATGAATTGATTAATTAATTAAAAGTCCAAAATAATAATAATAATGAGAATATCACGCATACGCAGTGATGTCTTTGTTCACATTAAGTAATATTTCATGTATTTAATTTTATATGATACAAACGATAATGAATCATAATTAAGTTCTCATAGTTCTTTTTACCTAAATGATTTGTTCCTATTAAATGTTACAATGTTCACTGTTTTTAGCCTTACATTTACCTAACAAGTTCTTCAATCAAAATTTGCACGTAATGGAATGACTTTTCTAATTGACTTTGGTCTAGCCAATCCTCTGGTGGGGCCTCTGGTTGAAGGATGCCCTCTTCCAGAGTCCCTGCACAAAGTTCTCCTTGTAGCCACAGGCACTTCAATTCGCACTTACCTCGTGGCCGCAGCGTGGATCGCATTGCAGCGCCTTGGTGAGCCTCTGGTAGGGCGGAGTGGGCGGCGGCGGCTGGCAAATTGTCAGCGACGTGGTCAGGGGCGGCGGCGGCGGGGGTGGCAGCGGCAGCGGGGGCACCTTCACAGTGGCTGAGCTGCGCAGCGCGTTGGTATCCACGGCTGCCGTTTTGCTGCTTTCACTTCCGGGGTGCGGGACTTGGAATGGGTCTGGGCTTGGCTTGGCTGGGCTTGATTTCTTGCTTTGCTGGCAACTTGTTGGTCGTCGTCCTCGACCGGGTCACTCCTCCTTCGTCCTATTTCGCTCCACGAACCCGTGTGTAATTACAGAATGGCAAGTCTTAGTTTCAGAGCCAAGCCGGGCAGTCTTACATTATTAAATGCCACCACGCCTGCAAGAGCACCAAAGTACAACAAAAAGTTGGTAAGTGAAAGAGAAGAGTTAATCCAACTTGACTTGTGCTGTTCGGTAAACGTCTTATTCTATTTGATACGATTTAATTGGAAATATATATAAAAGTGGATGGTTTTATGGAGCAAGAAGATGCACTTGAGTTGCTGCAAAAGATGTGGCATCGAGATGCTTAATTGCTCAAGTTGTAGTTTAGTTTTCTTCCTTGTAACATTTTTGAAGTATTCATTTGAGATATGCAGCTCTTTATTAATAAAGCTTTTATACAACAGACACCTGAAATAACAGTCTATAAATTATGTTAAATATTCTATGCCTTCAAGTAAAAAAGTATTTCTTGAAAAGCTCTAATAACACATAAATTTCTATTAAACGAGGCCGTTGAAAAACGTAACACTAAATGTATTACCTGTCCCCAGCTGACACTGATTTAGTGTTCGTTCTCTCAAAACAAAAAATATGGTAAATAATGGTCATTTTGGATATTGCGTTTGCATGCAATTATTATATGAGGTCCCTAATGAGTTTTATTTAAAGGTAACGCCCTTAGGGCCATTAATTTTCAATTTTTCATCCGCCACAGGAAAATGGCCGGTGAACTTAGATTAGCCTTCAGTTCGATGATGGTAAAACCATGAAGCATAAATTACGATAATTAAATGAAACTAACACGTCAAGCTGATTTTCCTACGAAACTTGGTAAGACCGTCGAGCGTCGTAAAAAATGAACGCTGGCCAAATATAATTAACGGTTGTCGGAGAGGGCCATGAAAATGAGAAAAGTTTCGGGTGTAACGCAATCGATATGGGCTGAGGTTGAGTGCCCGGCCCTGTTTTATCCAATTATGCTGGTCGTAACTCAACTAGTGGCAGGACGGACAGCCGGGAGAAAAGATTTCCAATAAGCGAATAAGCAATTCTTCAATAATTCAATAAGGAAAAGGGCTCGCTCTGCGCGCATCCTTTTGCTGCAGCAAAAGTTAACTTGAAGTAATTACGTAAATGGATTTTCTTCCTTTTTTTCTTGCTTCGCTCAAATTTCCTGTACGATGGCAAACACAGGGACTAAGGGAGGAGGGATTCCGGGATCCGGGAAATATTTATATACCAATCGGAGCGGCCCATCCCGCCCCCTCTCTCGTTCCCTCGAGCGTGACAGGAAGTTGGCCAGGAAGGAACCGAGCCGAATCCGAACTCTCATCAGCCGGCGGCAGGCGACCAGGCGTACAGAGATACGAGCTTGCAAATGGGCCCGCACACTCCCTGCCACACATATCTCTATAACTATAACCACTTGAAATTATTATAAAAGCCGCAAAAGGGTTGGACCAACTTTCAGGCCAAGTCGGCGTCAGGCGACGCCATCTCTCTGATTGACTGACGGCGACAACTTGCCTGCCGGTGGTTTTAACACCTCCCAAATGCGTGTACAATCGCGATCAAACTTATAGTGCAAACTGTTTGATAAAACTCAAAATTACCATTTACAAGAACCAAATTTTTCAGAAAAGATTAGTTTTACTAAAAGGTAAAATATGTAGAATTCCAAGAAACGAAGTCCTGATTTAACAAAAGTGAAGTGTGGCAACTAAGCCAATTTATGCATTCCAAGAAAAGCCTCAACTTTTGATAAGAAAAGTTTAAGTTCTTGGAAAGATCTAAATATAAATTTACGTAACTTTGACTATGTTAATTTGAGGTCAATGAACTCACAATTATAGCAAACAGTTTACACTACATTACATTACATAAATAAGTATATATTAATAATTATATTTGATAAGTGGGTGTACTTTTCTTTAAAAGCCTAATATAAATGTAATTTGATTATTTTATTTGATTTTAAAAATAATACTAAATAAATTATAAAGTTCTACCTTTATTTACTCATGAAACATGACAATTTTCTGGCTTATTTTTCAAACATATATGTATGTTGGCAGCTGTCACTTGCTGACAGTTTTGTTTTGCAATATTTTTCAAAAAAGCCTCGATGTTTTGTTTACTATTCTGCTGGACATACATGGCTATATATATACATACATATATAGTACAATTAAATTTACATTTCCATTCCCATACATGCGTGCTCGTGAGTGTGCGAGTGTATATGTAGTATTACGTGCCAGCTGTCACAACTGCCGCAGGAGCCGCAATTTCATTTCGACGCTGGCAAGTATGCAACGAAATTTTTACACTTTTCCCACTTATCAAGCCGAAGCAGACTCTGTTTCGTTGAGGCTGTGTGTGTGTGTGTGTGTGTGTGTGTGTGTGTGTGTGTGTGTTGCGGGGGAGTTTTTGGGTTACCTTGGATGGCTTTTCCCTCTGTCACGCATACATTTGCATGCTAATGTCCCCATTTTCCCCCTCCTTCAACGTGGAATTACAGTTTTAATTACAAAACTCAACATGAATGCATTTGATATCAAACGAAAACAGAAGCGAGTCGGATCTGAGAACTAAGTGTAGTTGCAATTTAAGTGATGGGATTAGAAGAGGATGGAGGTAGGGTGGGGAAAGTGTGGCTAGAGATACCAGAAAGAGTGTTGCCTTCCAAGTTTTTCCTTTTGAAACTCTGAAAGGATTCGCATAACTGGGTCAAAAATGTTAGCATAAAGGGAAATAGGCACTTGGCAAATGCGAAACCCGCTACGCTAAAATGAAAAGAGGAAACACATAAAGGAAATGGGCGTACTCATACCATAACATGTGGAATTTCCATTCACTCATGTAACTACTGAATTTTAAAGTTTATGTCAAGCTTATTGGACAGAGTAAACTATTTATCTGATATGCAAAAACTATTTCCAAGTAACCAAGCAATTAGATTTATTTGTCAACAAAAAATATAAGGCCTAAAGGGAAACGGATGTGTTTCTGGGATGTTCATATATCTTAGAATTTTACTAGAATTTTGGTTCCAATGAAATTAAATTCTTATTTTTCTGACTTTGCTTGGACACTCAAAATGTCTATGCTTTCTGAATAGCAATAAGGATAAAAAAGCCTAACTGAACCCTTAAATAGGAAAATATGCATATTAAGTGATATGATAATTTTCTGAAACGAATAAACTAAATTAAACAAAGGCTTTGTTGACTTAGCAAGTAATTAATTACAAACCAATTAGACCACTTATGATACAATGTCAAGGAAAAATCTTAAGCTATTGACCTGCTAATGAATTTAAAGCATTGCGTAAATCATCCTTCTCGTTTAAATTCCCTTAAACCACAAATAAATTTACACATATGCTCAGCCTTACCTCAACGAATGGCAGAAATTCTCTTCATTCTCGAAGCTCATAAATTCGTGTAATATTTACAAGGGATACCAATTGACCCATTTAGACCCTTCTGTTCCTCCCATAAATCAGGCAGACAAACGGTTTAGAGTTTCGCAATTTAAGGCTTGGCTCTTCCAAGGAGCATCCACTCGAAGTGTGTGCAGCCTCCATCCCAGCCATTGTCCTCCCACTTGGGATAATTCGAGCAAATGCCTCGCCTTGCCAGCTGCCATCGTCTGTAAAATTATTCACACATTTTTTGGGTCAAGTTCAATTGCAGGCATTAATTATAAGGACTTGGCACTCTCTCGTCTTTGGCCCTCAAGTTCAAATGAATTGAAATTGCATGCCGTTGGGTGGGATCAAAGTGGCAGATATCTTAATTTTACTCAGCATCACCGCCCCAAACATGAATTCCCCTAATGCGATACAAATTTAGACATCGGACAAGTGCGTGGTGGTCGAGTGATTAAAAATAACTAAAACTGCGCGTAATGAAATTAATTTGAGGAGGAGGATGCAGTGACCGCTTGGAGGCCGGAGGAATATAAATAGAAAGTGCTCCAAAATGAGATGTGCAGTGCAGCTGTGTGTGGCTGCGGATGGCTAACTGGCGCAAGGACACTTGTTGTGGTCACCAGGGTACCATCAACAACACACCGCCCACTCGCCCATAAAAATCGATGGAAATCTGCATGGGAAAAATACCAGAACAAGCTCCAAGCTTATTACATGCTCGAGGTAAATGGAATTATGAAACAGCAAGTGCAATAAAAATGAATTATTCTAGTGAAAGGAGTGCTGCAAATGGAATTTATCACAATTTGCACGTGTAATTAATTAGTTTTTACGCTCCGTGAAGCAGAGCCGGAGAAGTCATTACGGATTCTTTACTCCCTTCGTCTTCCCTTTTGCTGGCCGCCATTCGCCTTCTGCTTCTCGGTTTTCCCATTTGCAATTTGAATTTCATAAAGCAGAAGGCAAAAACTACACAACGACCGAAATTCAGTTATGTCCTTCAACTTGAACAATGTCGTTATACCCTTCTCCCCCTCGCAGGCCATTTCCTTTATTCGAGCCACTTACAAGTCCAAAAACAAATAACAAGGACAATGGGAACAAGTCACAAGCACTATGGGGAATGAATGAATGCACTTAAAGAAATGACGATGGTTCCACTCTATGAGGCACAAAGATCTTGTAAAAGACCCTTCAGAAATGCGTTTGCTAAACCTACAGTAACCCTCAGCTCACCTTGTGTTCTATGGCCTCTGTTTTATTGTTTTCCTAATATTTTGTAGAGTTCTTTATCCTTAAACTAAACCCTAAGTAGAATACAAAGTAAGTTTTCTTTCGAGTGAACAAAAAACGTGGTACTTCTGAACAAAAAGCCAACTGAATTTACATTTTTCGCTTGCTCATCTGTACTTGTTATAGGTCTAATGAAAAAGTTGGACGAGCTAATAATAGAAATCAGAGAACACAACATTGGAGCACAGATAAATAAGGAAAAGCTAACATAAGCTATTTGATATGACGCCTTTTTTATATGAACCAAAGAGCT